TTTTTTTTTTTTTTTTTTTTTTTTTTTTTTTTTTTTTTTTTTTTTTTTTTTTTACATGATATACGTGTGAACTCCTTTACTTCCATGTATAAAGACTAAATCAGGGAAAACCTCATCTTGGGGATGAATTCTGACGCTCCAGAGACTGTAGTTACCGTCAAGGAAACCATCTTGAGTGAAGAGCCTCAGCAGCAGCAGCATCATCATGCTCCTCCTGAGAAACGGACCAAGCTTGTTTTTCTGTACAGCAGCGATGAGGAGGAGGATGATAATGATAAGAAAGATGGGGAAGAGTCGAATGAGAATATAAATGAGGGGTCAAAGAAATCTGCGGTGGCTGTTGAGGAAGTCGTAACACTGAATCCACCGGTCGAAGAGCTTCTTGAGATGCAACAAGAAGCGGAAGAGGCAGCAGCACGGCAGAAACGAGTTGAAGAACAAAATACAAATGAGATGATTCCACCAATGCCGTTATTTGTGGAGGATACAGCAGGTGTGGCTGTAAAATTGCCAACCGTGCCACAGACTCGTGTGAAGGTGGTGGACGCACTGCCGCTCCGTGAAGGTGGGATCAACACTATTGGCAAACGAAGTGGTATGCCGTTGCGGCGATACATAAGTGTGGAAGAGGCTGAGCGTCTCTTAATTGCCCGAAAACGATTCCGTGAAGAAGAAGAAGAAAAAGATGATGATGATAATGAAGAAGAAAATGGAGAAGATTCTGTAGTCGTTGTTGCCAATGGTTTTCCTTCTGGTGTTGACAGTAATGTATGTGTTCCACGACCAGTACTAGACGACGATGGTCTCGTGCGAGCTGTGGAGGTTGGTGGTTATCAGTTAACGGTTGATGAATCTTATTTACAAAACTCTGATGAGGAGAAGGAGGATGTGGAGGAGGGTGAGGTAATAGCTCTAGATACTGTAAATGAAAATGACGAGGATAATAACTACAAACATTTGGGCGATGAAAACAATGATGATCTTGATAATCTTGGTGATCTTGATGATGATGACGAGGAGGAGGAGGAAGATGAAGAAGACGAAGAGCTTGACGCGGCGTTAGTAGTTGCAGTTGTAGAGCAGTTAGTCCGCTGTTGCGAGAGTGAAGAGCTGGACGAGGCTCTGCGTGAGGATGGTGATCGTTTCCTCGCAAGGGCACAACCCTTTCTTCAACAATTGCACGCAGGCGAGATGGATCCACACGCTTTTGGAGAAGAGTTGAGGAGTGACATCCTGCGTTTACAACGGGCATTTAGGCGTGTGAGTCGTCCGACAGATGCGCCTATTGTGATTGATGGTGTAGTAATGGACATGTAAAGGAGGGTCAGTTCACATCGGTTAATATGAAAAAGTATTCTTAATAAATATTCTCAGCGAGAGAGTGAAAAATAAAAAATAAAAAAAAAAAAAGAAAAGAGGCGCACTCTTCTGGTGGTGTGTTTAGTTTTCACGATTTCTTGTCATCTATCTATCTATCTATCTATCTATCTATCTCTTTCTGTGTTTGTGTTACTGAGTCTCAGTTGTGTTCTTCTGCAGTGTATTCTTTTAACTCTAGTAGATGCGCTTCTGCGTGTTGGTACACTTTCTTATGAAGAAGAAATCTAGTGAAGTTCTCATTTTATCTTTTTTTTTTCTTTTTTCTTTTTTTTTTTTCTTGTGTCTTTTTCTCTTTGTTTTCTTTACCCTGAAGTTCTTCCAGCGAAGAACTCTCACACAGTCCCTTTTTATTTTTAGTAGGGGTTATACGCAGCGCGAGAAACTTTTTTTTCTCGTGTGTGTTGAGTGAGAGATTGTAGGGATTGGGAGAGAGAAAAAAAAGAGAGAGAGAGAGAGAGAGGTTCGTGAACCTCTGTGTGCGAGTAAGTAAATAAGTTAGTGCTTAGTGCTTGTGTTTGTTTGTTTCTGTGTTTGTGTTTGTGTGTATCTGTTTCTTTCACTCCGTGTTCGATTAAGAAAAATAATACACACGTCTACAACATACCAATAACACATATATCACATACATACAGAGGTGTCATTTGCGCGCGTACAAGGTAAGGTGATATATATATATATATTCTCCCTATTTGACTAGTCTACTCAACAGGAACCTTAACTGTTGAGTTTGGTGATAGTAGCGGTCTCTTTAGGTCGCTTTATCTCGTGCGTGTTTGTCTGTGTGTGTTTGTGTGCTTATCTTTCACGCCGGTTGCTTATTTTTATTTTTGCAGACGTGAATTGGATCTATTTCCTTTTTTTTTTGACGGAGTGTGCGTGGTCCTGTATCGAAGCCTCGCAGCCTACTGCGTTTCTGCTACACGCATACAACACAACACCCTCAAATACTTCACGAAAGAAGTAGAGGAGAGGAGAAAGAGGAAGACGAAGGAAGAAAAGACAGTAAGAAGCAAAAGAAGAAGGAATAAGAAGGCAGAACGGCCCCCTTCTGGAAGAAAGGATCTTGTTTTATAACAAGAAAGAAAGAAAAAAAAAAGAATAAGTAAAGAGTGCCAGTGTGAGTGTGAGTAGGCGCTTGTGTGTTTGCTTATTGGATTGGCATTATTCTGGTGGGAATCTTAAATTCAGTGGGTTACAGCAGAAAAAAAAAAAAGAAGGAAAACAAGAAGAAAAAATATATATATATATATATATAATTAAGATATATGAACCCTGCAGCGCAAGAGTTTATCCCGCAAAAGAAGCGGTCCTTGGATCCCGCTGTTGCCCCGGCAGATAGTCGAGCAGGTCAACAACCACCACTCTTACATCATCATCATCACCACCAGTCGCCACCGCCACCGCCACCACCGCCTCAGCCGCAGCCAACGAAGTTGCGTGCGTCGGCGCCTGCGTTTGTGCCGAAGTCCTCCGCGATGATGGCGGGCCCGCTGCCGCTGGACGCCCCAACAACAACGACGACAACAACGATGATATCATCTTCGGCCTCTGCGGTCCTGCCGGCCCCGCAGCCGGTGGAGCCCGCCGCGGCCGTGCCGGGTAGTGACGGGCGGCCCTCGCCGGGGTCGAAGGCGCTTTCGCTCGACGCCCGGCCGTACACCCCGACGAACCCCAAAGTGGCCGCGAAGTTCCCGGCAACGCCGCAGGCACAGCAGAGTGTGGCCGCCGTAGACCCCGCAGAGGCCTCTCCCACGCCTTCGCCCACTGCCACTGCCGCACAGCAGCAGGATCAACAACAACAGAAGGAGCAGGAGAAGCAAGCTGAAGAAAAGGAGCAAGGGGCAAAACAGGAACCCGCGCGGGATCCGCCACTGCAGGCGGAAAAGCAAGAAGAACCACAGGAGCGAGGAGCCGAACCGGCGGGTGAGGAATCTGTCGGCTCCACCTCCGCACTCGACGACAACAGCAACTGTGTACTACAACAGATTGGCGCGTTGGGCAATCCGGTGGCAACTGACTTTAGCGGCTCCGCACTACCATCTCTTTTTAATGTGTCGTGCGTATCATTGCCTCCACCTGAATCACCTATTCGCTTTAACACGGTGTGGGCCCTTCACGCAGATGATCATCCAACTCCCTTCGGTGCCCCACTTGCATATGATCCGGTACTCGTACAACTTGTTGGAGATGTGGAGGCCTTTTGGCGTCTCTGGCGTTATTTACCACCACCCTCCTCACTTGTTCCTACCTTTACGTATCACTGGTTCAGGCGAGATATTAAGCCAAACTGGGAACACGCACGTAATAAGAATGGTGGAACCATTACCATTGTTATCTTTGACAGGGATAAGCCTGGACTGAACAGTAAGCAGAATATGGATGATGCATTTATGTTACTGCTGATGGCATGTTGTGGTGAGACCCTCGCGGAGAGCACGACAAACCTTAATGGTGTTATGCTTAAGGTAAGACAGAATAAACCAACCACCGTACAAATTTGGACCGCAACCTCTGATCAGCGAAAACTGAAAGCACTTGCCAACAGCCTACGCAGTTTACTTGAGAAGGTTATTGGTTCAAAACCCCTACAGAAGCTGGAGTACTTTTCACACCAGCAGAAACAGGTCGGGGGACCAGGTAGCTTGGCAGGAAGAATGAAGGGGAAACCAACAAGAATAACTCCAGACTTCACACTCTAAAAAAAAAAATATATCCAATGTAAGAGGGGTGGAGAAATGAAATGGAAAAAAATGAAGAGAGAGAGAGAAAAAAAAGGGAAAATTCGCTTTAACAAATGGTCTCAGTAAAGAGAAAAAAAAAGAGAGAAAAGAGAGAAATGGCAATGTATGTTACCAGAGAAACGGAGCCGATTAATAGGACGTGAGGTAAAAGAGGTATAAGAGGGGGATTGAGATGATGATTTGATGATCATATTTTTCTTTCCACTCAATTTCGTCTTTTTTATTATTTTTCTCTTTTTTTTCCCCCTTTTCTTTTGTGCCGTTTCCTTTTTTTTTGGTTCTTCGTTCTTTCCCTTTGTTCTCTCCCTGTGATTCTGGGTCTGTTTTCAGTCTTGAGTGTTTGAGGTGATTAGAGTGGCGCATGGGGGTGCTGACGGGATGAAAAAGAAGTGGAAAGTAATGGGAAACGTTCCTATTTCTCATGTTATTTCCGTACTTTCCACAGCAATAAAAGAGGGAGAAAATAGAAAAAACAAGAAAGAATCACGAGGAAAACCTGAACGTTTAAACATCTCTGATTTACAAAAAGAAGAAGAAGAAGAAAAAAAAAAAGGAACTAACAACGCGAATAAGACAGAAGGAACTGTACATGAAACCATAAAAGAAGATTATATATATATATATATATATAATCTCTTTCTATGTGTGTCTCCGTGCTATTCTGAGATCTTTTAGTGTCTCTCTTTTTTTTTTTTGTTTTCGTTTTTTGTCCCACTTTGTTGTTGTTATTATTATTTTTCTATACCTGACGACTTCCTTTCAAGTGAAAATGGAAAAAGAAAAAAAAGAACGTAAACGAGTTTTTGCCACCCGGACACGTTCTTCTTTGTCTTGATTCCCCGGCTTTCCTCTCTTTGAAAAGAATGTTGGTGTTATTCTGCTCCTGCTGCTTCTGCATTCATTTTTTTTTTTTTTTTTTTCGTATACTTCCTATCTCTTCTGTAGGGTTTACTCTTCTTTTTTCTTTCTTTTCTTTTCTTGGGGATTGTATCTTATTATCATTATTATCATTATCATCCTCTGTTTTAACCACACTTCTCTAGAGTTTTTATATTCGTTTTAAAAATTTTCTTCTTTCTGCATCCGGAGAACGTATATACAGGTTTCTGCAATGAAAGAAGAGAAATAAATAAATTAAATAAATATATATATATTTATATATATATATTTATTCTTAACCAGGTAAAATGTAAACTCTGAGAGGAAAAACGAATGGAGAAGTTGTGGTGAAAGCAATATTTGTTTTTTTTTTTTTCTTTGTTTGTTTTGTTTCTACTCTGTGGATATATGTAATGTTAGAGGTCGATTGTGTGGGAAAGAGAGGAATGCCCCAAACAGAGAAAATGAAACAAAACAAAAAAAAAAAATGGAAAGAAATACAGAAAGGAAGAGAATAAACAAATAGAGAAAAAACCAAGAAGAGTAATGATGGAAAGAAGAAGAAAAAAAAAAAAAGGAAGCAATGGCGGAAGAATGAGAAGAAAAAAATAATCAAAACAAGTAATAAACAAAAAAAAAAAAAGAACGCATGATATGAAGCCGTCATTCCAAGTATGAAGAAGGAAAGACTCCGATTGGGGGAGAAGAGAAAGAATAGAGTGCGGGGAAAAAAAGGAAAAAAAAAAAAGATCAAAGAAACAAAGATAATAGTGAGAAAAGAAAATTGAGGTAGAGTGGCGTACGAACGCACGCTTACTGAAGTAAAAGAAAAAAAAAAAATTACATTCGGAAAGAAACAACTGTAAAAAAAAGAAAAGAAAAAAAAAAGAATCAAAACTAAATAAAAGAATTTCCTTTTTTTTTCTCTAAAATGAAAAAAAAAACAAAAAAAAAATAAGAGAATATATATATATATATATATTTAACGTGCTCTGTTCTTTTTATGTGTGAACGGAGCAGTAATATGGAAGAAGGCGATGTGTCTGTGTGTGTGTGTGTGTAAAGGAATGAGGTGGAAAGAGTATGTTGGTGTTTGCTGTCTGACAAATACATCTACAAAGGAGCACAAAAAAAAAGAAGAAAAAAAGGCGAGGATAGCAGAAACCAAAAAAAAAAAAAAAAAATGAATGTGTGGAAAGGAACTGTACAAGGTGGTTCCTACAACGTTAAATAAAAGTCATTTTCTTTTTTTACCTAAAAAGGTTCTAAATATTTTGATTCGTATATATATATATATATGCTTATTTCTATGATATTTCTTTATTATTATTTTCTTTTGCTTGTTGAATTACGTAAGGAGAATAGGAAGAACAAGAAAAAAAAAAACCAGGAAAACACAGACAGACACAAATACACACATACCCCAATTATCATCAGGGTCTATTTATACATATACGTACATATATGCTCCGCCGTCATATTTCTTCACCTGTTGCCAAGGTAGCGGCTGGTACATTCTCTCTTGCTGTTGGTTGGCGTAATCTACATTATACCCCACGAAACCGCGATGTCCAGTTTCTCATGGAGGATGTCTTTGACATGTACTCTCATTACGAGAAACTAGGACGTTCTGATGTGAACAAGGAACTCTTTGAGGCTCTTCTGGATGAGGCTTCCAAGTTATCCACGCAAACACTCTTCCCATTATACACCTCTGGAGATGATGAGGGATGTCATTTAAAGCCTGATGGGAATGTAACGACCCCAAAGGGATTTAAAGAGGCATATAAGGCATTTAAAGAAGGTGGATGGGTTGGTATTTCACATCCTGAGGAGTACGGTGGTCAGGGATTGCCAGAGTCCGTTGGCTTCACACTGCGAGAGATCATGGCCACAGCGAATTGGCCGCTCTCTATGTATCCTGGTCTCAGTATGGGTGCGGCCAACACCCTGTTAGCTTGGGGAAGCGATGAGCAGAAGAAAACGTATTTAACTAAACTTGTGAGTGGGGAGTGGACGGGAACCATGTGCCTGACGGAACCACAATGCGGAACAGACTTGGCGCAAGTAAAGACAAGGGCAGAACCCTGTGGAGATGGTACATATAAACTGAAAGGGACAAAGATATTTATTTCTGCTGGAGATCATGATATGGCACCAAATGTCATTCACGTTGTGTTGGCACGACTTCCGGATTCCGAACCGACAACAAGAGGCATTACACTTTTTTTGGTCCCACGAAATTTAGTGAAATCGGATGGATCACTAGAGGCAACGAAGAATGTCAAATGTGTGGGTTTGGAATCCAAGATGGGTATTAAAGGAAGTGCGACATGTCAATTAAGTTTTGAGGATTCTATTGGATATCTTATTGGTGAACCCAATAAAGGTTTAAAAGAGATGTTTACATTTATGAACGCGGCTCGTATGGGAACGGCATTACAAGGGGTTTGTCATTCCGAACTGGCCTTTCAAAATGCACTTGGGTATGCGCGTGAACGGGGTTCTCAACGGGCTCTCAGTGGAACCAAGTACCCAGAGAGACCAAATGATCCACTTATTTGTCATCCAAATGTTCGTCAAAATCTTTTATTTGCCAAATGTGTGGCTGAAGGCGGTCGGGCTTTAATGATGGATTTGGGTCGAATGTTGGATTTAAAATCCGCTGCGAAGGATCCCACAACGCGAGATAATCTGGATCACGAGATTGGCTTCTACACCCCTATTGCGAAGGCCTGTTTAACAGAGTGGGGTGTGGAGGCAAGTTCACGATGTCTGCAAGTGTGGGGTGGACACGGATATATAAAAGGAAATGGAATGGAGCAAATTCTGCGAGATTCACGTATTGCCACTTTATATGAAGGCACTACTGGTATTCAAGCACTTGACTTTATTGGACGAAAGGTGTTGAGATCAAAGATTGATGAGGTATCACGTTTTGGGGCTAATGTAAATGCTGTTGTGCGTCCACATTTGTTTTCTCGAGGAACTGTTGGAAACTGTGCAAGAAGACTATGGATATTGCAGAAACAATGGCGTGTGGGTATAATGAAAGTAAAGATGTCTGCTGTTGGCGATATGGATGCTGTTGGTGCCGCCTCTGTAGATCTTCTCATGTACACTGGATATGTGGTGTTGGGATACTATTGGCTACGTATGGCTATAGCCGCACAGAGGTGTATTGATGCTGGGAAAGATACCAATGGGTTCTATCAGTGTAAAGTGGATATGTGCAATTATGTATTTACGGAGATTATGCCGCGTACAGAGACACACTTCCAAGTTATGCAGAATGGATCCAAAATTATGAAGAGCAATGAGTCCAATTGGGACATTTCTTAACACTCTCTTTGAAGGGATTTCATATATATATATATATATGAACACAGAGAGGAAGAGAGAGAAAGGGATTTTTTTAAAAAAAAAGGAAAGAGAGGGGGAATGGAGACGGAGAAATGTGAACTAAAATCAAAAAAAAAAGAAGTTATACATATATGAGAATATTTATCTTCTTATATGTATAGAGCATAAGATGTTTTGAAAGCGATTCACTTAACTGTGTTGTTTGGAAAGGGATTATTATTTGCAAGCGTGATCAGTTTTTTTCTTTTCTTTTCTTTTCTTGTTGGTAAAACTTCTTATCAAATCTTTTTTTTTTTTGTTTATTTTTGTGTGTTCATATGTTTTTCTTGTTTTCAATTTACTCCTTTGAACAGCAGGTAACCTTCCTGGTGGTACCTTTTTTTTATTATTTTTGCATGAAGTACGCAAAAGAATAGGGGGGAAGTGAGTGAATATAAAAAAGTCGAAAAATGAACGAAAAGAGAAAACAAAGAGAAAGGAAGAAAGAAGGAAAAACAATGATAATGAAAAGTAAACAGAGAAATCACAGAAGGTGTTTTAACATCAAAACAAAAAAAAAAAAAAAAAACACATAAGAAGAAAGAAAAAAGAAGAGGAAGTATATCTCTCTTTCTCTCTCCATTAGATTGGAGATCTCTTCAAAGTGAAAGTAAAGAGAAAATACATTCCATTTCACAATATCTATTGGGATTGGCTTCTCTAAACACAGTGTCCACTCGCAAATCCCCTTCAAAAATATATTTGTTCGACTCATCTTTTTTTTTTTCTTTCTTCCGTGTGTTCTTTTTCCTTGTTTTTTTTTTATATATATATTTTCTGTTATTTCTCTCAATTGAGCGATCGGAGAACTTTTTTTCTTTTTCTTTGTTTGCTTG